TGAGAATGATGAGGGCAATGAATGTACAAATGTGCTTTACACAATTGATGTATGTATGGATTGTGATAAGAGTTGTATGAGCCCCTAATAAAATTGATTAAAAAAAAAAAAGAAAAATCTACAATCTAAATTTCCATCAGTAGAAGACAGGATAAGAAACTCTAGTATACACACACAATGCAATACTATGTATCCCTAAAAAAAACAGTGATGAAACCATGAAACACCTATGACATGGAGTGATCTGGAAAACATTATGCTAAGTCAAGTTAGTCTCAGTCACAAAAGGACAAATACTGTATGTGTCTACTGCTGTAGGGGCAAGCAACAGGGCAAGCACAAGCTCAGGCTTGCAGGGCATCCAGTCTGATGGCCAAGGTGGCCACATAGCCTGGCAGAGAGCCTGACTGGTACCATCCTTTCTAGGTATGTATCTTGCAAGTCACTTTGGCGGAGGGCTCCTCACCCCAGCTGAGACCAAATTGTAAAGGGAGATGGTGACTACTTAGTGGCTGCCATGAAAAGTTATGACAAGGTCCCCTGGACATGTAGACATCTCTATCAAAGGGATGAGGGGATACTGATGGAAAACTCAAGTCAAGAGAGGGGAAAGGAAGCAGACTCATCTGGGAGAGCACAAGTACATGTCTGTGGTAGAAAGACTTCCAAGTGAAGGGGAAATGACTAAAAGTACCCTAAGGGGGGAGTATCCCGGTAATATGCATAAACCACATTGCAATAGGCCAATATGCACCAAATAAGTCGAGTTTCTGGGCACATCCTGAGAACTCAGGGCAAGGGCCATAGAACACTGGGGCACTCAATCCTGGATATTTAAGGCGCACAACACACTCCAAAGGCTGCACCAGAGAGATCTGATTCAGAAACTCCACTAGGTGAACTGGACTCTACCTCAAACACACTTGTAAGCTGAGGACTTTAGACGGAAAATTCAAGGTGTTTGAAGAAGCAAAGGACAGCTATATCAAGAGTATTGACAATCATTGACTTGATACATCAATGCCCTATATGAAGATATGAATTATTCCAGCAACCCTGTAACTGGCATGCTCAGTGAATATTACTGTCATTTTCCCCTGACAACCAATTCCCATTGTTAGTTTAAATACCGTCCAGCCACGAAAGGATTTATTCTGTTCAAGTGAATAATTCAGGTATGGCGATATGGAGTTAGCCTACATTGGCCCAATATCCCTCTCTCGATGTTTTTAAAAATTAGTGCCAAGGCCTAATCAATGAAAATATCAATGGAAGATCTTTTTGCATCAGGGAGATGATCAATAAGACTCTCTACCACAAATTAACAAGGAAATCTCCAAAGGGGACGAAAGGCAGATAAAAAAAACATAGATCCAGGAAAGGGTTTAGAGTTCACACTAAATCCTAGCTCCAATTTATCAACAATTAGTCCTTACATCATGACCCTGCTTGATACTCACCCTCAGGAAGGGAACACAGGAAATATGGGTGCTATAGCAGAGTGGTGAAAAAATTAGATGGTGCCTGGATATCAGATAAAATAGTATCTGGGGTCTTAAAGGCTTGTTTGCAAACAAGCAGCCATCTGAGTTAGATGTCAACTAAGTCCACATGACTGATGGACTATAAACCATAACATCCGAAGCCTAAGGAGGGTATAGTATCAGAGCCTAAACTGTAAAGTTCTGGTTTGCAGAAGGCTATGGATAATAGTGGAAGCCCAAGAAATATTTGTGAAATCTACACAGGATAAGCCTCCAGTGATTTCCTCTATCCAAAACCAGTTACCAAACAGAGTGCATTAGAGAGATAACTATTAGAAGATCAAAATAATAAACTTGGCTTGAACAGTTAAAATCTTGTCATAAGATACACATAGGGCCTGATGTGGTTTTGAACATGTACTGTGTTTTATAGGTATGGAGGGGTTTCTTATTGGGGCTTATCGGATGTATTTTGTCATTGGGAGTAACCAATGACCAAATTTTGGTCATATGAGGGGGTATCTCAAAAAACCTGATGTGATGTGAGGGGGGATAGTGCATTTAGAGTTTATTCCACCAGGTCAGACTGTTAATCAAGCTTCCTATTTAGAGGTTCTGAAAAGATTCATAACAGTGTGCAACAAAAGAGGCCTGATTTGTGGCAGGTGGGAGACTGGTTTTGCCACCATGACAATGCACCTGCTCACACAGTCATCTCAGTGTACCAGTTTTTGGCAAAAAGCAGCATACCTCTCTTGCTCCATGCACCTGACTCACCTGACCTACTCCTGCAACTTCTTTTTGTTTCCTCGAATGAAGAGGGACATGAAAGGCCAGTGATTTGATGATGTAGAAGAGGTGAAGAAAAAAAATGAGGAAGGTGTTGTCAGCCATCCAAACAGATGAGTTTTAAAA